AAGGCCCACTCATGTATGTGTAAAATTCACAATATAAATAAATTAAATTTGTAAGAGTCTTATAGGGGCGAGAGTCTCAACTATTACTCTTCAATCAATTCCAACGCTGAAATTATACAAACTGAAAACCATATTTACATTCTCCATTCAAAATTTCTGTCATACAAATTTAAAATCTCACAAATTCAAGCATATCCTTTGTTTTTATTTTCCAGGAAAATTACACCTTCTCCAGAACAGAATCACAGCGCTCGATTTTGCTTTCATTCACTTTCTCGACACAGTCCGAGAATTTTCTCTTCTCCTCTCGTTCACACTCAACGCAACCACTCGTCCCATCAAAAATCATATAAACATAGAAAAGAATAGTATTGCAAATCGTCGCAACAATGAAGAGAGACAATCCATACCCTGGATGAGGAAAATACAGTCCGAATTGGAACGCGACTCCGAACGCAATCTAAGAAAACAAGAACCAAATGGCGAATTCCAATAAGTTCTTCTTGATCGATTTCTCGTGAGGAGGCAATTTCAGGTACTCCAAAGTACAGCGAACTAACAAGAGAAAAGCAGAGTCAGCGAAGACGATGAAGAATAGCAAGGCATAGTCGGATCGACTGTAGGCTCTGTACATTGCTCCGATGCTGTTTGATGCTAAGAGAAAGTGAGTGATTGAAGTGAAAAAGCTTGAGTATTCGCGATTGTTGCTGGTTCGGTGAGTAGTGGTGTTGTGAGACAATGGGATTGTTATTGTTGTTCTTTTTCTCAGAAACTTTATTCGCATTATGTGACACACAATTGTGATTGTGATTGTTTTCGTTGATGTGACTGGTTCTATATATACTTGTAATCTTTGGAAGAAGTTGTGTGATTGCGCAGAAATTACGAAGAAAGTGAGTTGAAGTTTCTCGGATATTACCTAAAAATAAAAAATAAAAATAAATAAATTATAAAAAAGAAAAGAAAAAAGAAGTTTCTTGGATATTTTATAGAAGGGAACCATAAATGATATCAAACTCATATCACCTCTCTATCCGTTATTTCAAACTCAGTTTATATTTTATAGAAAGTCAAAAAGTACACTTATTTAGAACATTCCAAACAACCCTTAGTTAGAATCGATTATATTTTTTGCCATTGTATTTGAATGACAAAAGATAAGAATTTGATTTTTAAGAGGTCATTTGGGAAGCTAAAAAAAAAAAAAGGGGTTAGTTTTAAATTTTTAATTCATTTTGGATCGAATAATATTAGGAATTATGAAAAAAAAAAATCATAAAATGTTTTATAAAATTTTTTTATCCTTTAATTAGTATGTGGTATTTTTGCCCCGTGTGATAGAGTTGTGTAAAAGTGATTATAGATTATAACTTAATAGATTATGTCTTATAGTTGTGAACCTAAGTTGTTAGCTTGCTTGGTGCAGCTGTGAGATTATGGATTTAAGTAGCACCTAAGCTGTTAGCTTGTTTGGTGCAGCTGTGAGATTATAAATTTAAGCAGCAGAGTAGTGTTTAGTTAATAAGCTGTAAAATAACTTTTTACTGTGTAATTGTCTATTTTGCACTTATATGATATAAAAATAATTATTTTATCATTTTATTTTACTTTATCAAAATTAATATAATATTATGATCATTATTATAACTTTAAAATAATAATAATAATAATAAGAAAAAAAAGAAAAGAACTCACATCACTGCCAAAAATACATTCCGTCTTATAACTTTAAAATAATAATAATAATAATAAGAAAAAAAAGAAAAGAACTCACATCACTGCCAAAAATACATTCCGTCAGTTTCATTTTTTGGTGTAAAGGCATGAATGCGTTACACATTTGTGCATTATTAATTCACGCCAATACTATGGATTACAATGGCATAAGAGAGATAAAAGAGACAGAACAATGTAAAACAATGTTGAAAAGGTTAAATTACCTTGGTAGTTTTTGTATTTTTTATTTTGGTATTATTATGATTTTTATAATTTTAATTATATTGATTTTAACTTTTAATTTTAAATTTGGTATTATTTTAGTCTAATTAATAACATTAATTAAGATTTTTGAAGAAAAATTGTCACTGAGTTGGTTTGAATGGAATTAGAAAAATGTTAGAAATTTCAAAAATTTTATTAAATTTTCTACCAAATATCAACCCACGTGATATAAGTCCTACACTCACGTGAGACATTTAGCAGAAAATTTAGTAAAACTTTTGAAATTTCTAACATTACTCTTAAAATTAACTTATTTAATTGAACAAATTTATAATTTTACTTATAAAACCATAGCACATGCCGCTTATTTGTATATATATAAAAAAAACACACTAATATTTATAATCAATTAGATTAAATTAAGATAATATCATAAATTCATGATAAAAATCGAAATAATTAAAATTATAAAAAACCAAAATCACGTAATGACAAAAATATAACAAGTACCGATATACCTTTGTGTGTTTGAAAATCATAAAATAGTATGCCAAGCCAAGTAAATGCCAAAAAAGGAGGTTGTTCTCACCTGAATTGGTCTGTTCTTGGAAGCTTGGAATTGATAGAACCCACTGGAACATAGGCAAAAATGCAAACACCCTCCTGCTGTTAGCGTTATTACTGTCATACCCTTCAATATATATTTATATATATATATGTAAGAAAAAATTAATGTTGGAGAAGCGAAACTTAATAAAAACAATAAATTTTATAAGCTTAAAAAAAATAATTTAGAGTTTTTTTTGTGTCATTTTAGTCCTTATAATTTTAATTGACTTGATTTTGATATTAAATTTATGATTTTATCTCAATTTGGTTTAATTAATTACAACTATTCACATTTGTTTTTTGGGTATAAAATACATACATAAATGGTGTGTTATATTTTTAAGGATAAAATTATAAACTTACTCAGCTTAATGAGTTAATTTCAACCAATTTAGTGATTATTTTCTATCAAAAACACTAGCAGCATTATCAATTGGATAAAATTGACACAAAATTTAAAATTAAAGTCAAAATTGAATCAATTAAAAATATAAAGATCAAATAATATAGTGAAGCAAAATATAAGGACCACTCGTATAATTTGCTCAAATAATTTATAATTTCAAACCAAGTTTCATTCATAGTATTGCTTTACAAGGAGAAGAATTTTACACACTTTAGATTTGCATTCTTAATAATTTTCTAATCATTTTTTTCTGGGTGTACAGACTTTCTCCTATCTAAACACAAACCTTTAAAAAAACAACAATACTACAAATTCATAGTTATGTACTAGTGGTAAACCCGTGCTATGCACGAAATTGGTTTAATAATATGTAAATGTTTTAATAATGCATTAATTTCTAAATTTACTCATAAAATTATAATCATAATGCATAGAGATCATTTTTTCAAAGGGCATTGATTTAGACCCCCTTAAAACATCTATCCCCACAACCCCCTCACACACATGGAGGTTGGGGATTTGGTGAGAAAAAAGAAAAAAGAAAAAAAAAAAAGTTGACCAATAAAAACTAAAGCGGTCAAGGGGGTGACCCTCAAAGGGGGTCTCAACCTTTATTCTTTTTCAAATTTCTTAAGTGAAGAGAATATTTCAAAACAAATATTCATAAAATATTTAAATCCAATTGAGTTATTTTTCTTAAAACAATAAACTTGATTTCTAACTAATGAAATAATATATATTAACAATAAATAAGATGTTTCTCAATAAACCTAATGTCTAAAACATATATATGCTAAAAAAAACTAATAATAAACTAAATGTCATAAATCAAATCTATGTATATTTGATAAATTAAAACTCAATAGATGTCGCTCATCATGTCCAAATGTTCCAAAAAGTACCTGTAAAATAAAAAAGTGTTAACATTTTTTTGTTATCATTTTTTACATACAAACAGACTTTAAAAAAAAAAAAAAATAGATATATTACCTTATGAGGAGTGTTGATTTAATTGTTCTCATTTTTGGGTTGTTGCTTCACTTCACTCTCTTCACCACCATTATTTTGTTGTTGCTGCTGCTGTTGTTCTTCCACTTTAATATTTTCATTACCAATGCGTTGCTCCACTTTATCCAATGCTTGTAAACAAATCATATCATTTTCAATTTCCTCCAACATAACTATCAATGCTCTCATGCCTGGAAAGTCATTTTTAATTTTTTTATGAATTTCTTGAATAGGCCATGACGTTGGAAGTGTGTTAACTATAGCATGAACTAATATTGCAATGTGGGGCTGGAAACCTTTTTACCTAAGCTTATAAAACATTTGCTCTTTATGTAACATATGCTCTCGTACCGTTAAATTTGGAGTCATCCGCGCTTGCTCAAGTTCAATCCATAGAGGATGAACATCACGCTCCTCCTCCATTAAAGCATCCATTAAGTCTGAGGCATCTTTGATTTCATGCTTTTGAAAAATTGTTTCCTTTATTTCATTCTAGCTCGATGGTAAAAGGTCTAATATTGTTTCCACCAATTTTTTTTCACTTATTTTTTTTCCCTAATTTTTGCATTGCTCGACATATTTTGATTTTCCAATCAACAAAATTTTCTACCGGTAAACCCTCTTTATGTGGTACAGTTTCAAATTCATTTATGACATTTTGCATCGCCAAACGATCACTACGGTGCAAATTTAGAGGAGGCCGCATATTTATCTGCACAATGAATTTAACACATTTAACATACAATTACATAATGTTAGTCAAGTTGTTTTTAATAATAAACCACATTAATTATTATTTGAGTAAAATTTATAATGATTAAAAAAAGAAGGATACTTAATTATAAAATAAAATAATTGTATGAATTAAACATAGTATATGTACAGACAATTAAATTAAATATGAACATGTAAATTTCAAATGCAACATATGTTTTCATGTATGAAATTACTTATTTTAAACAATCAATATATGAAGAGAAATAATAAAACAATTGTTTCTAAGAAAATGAAACACATTTGAAACTCTTGAACACAATTATTGATCAATGCCACTAAAAACTTCTATGTAAACTACATTTTTGGTGACATCATCCGGTATGCCTTGTTTATTAATAATCAACACCTTTAAGCCTGATGGGGAGGTGACACGTGATAAAGCTACATACAACTGGCCATGAGAGAAGACTGGATTCGGAAGATAAAGGCCCACATTCTTCAAAGTTTGCCCTTGACTCTTATTTATTGTCATAGCGAATGCCAACTTTATTGGAAATTGCCTTCTTTTCATTGTAAAAGGAGCATGATTTTTGGAAGGTGTTAAAACAATACGTGAAAGTAGTACTTTCTCACCAACTCTAGACCCTGTAATAACTCTAGCTTCAATTACTCGATTTCCCATCTTATCAACAATTAATCGAGTGCCATTACATAATCCCAAAGATTGGTTGACATTTCTTAGAAGCATTATTGGTGTTCCAACTTTCAACTGCAAACAATAATTTGGAAGTCCTGGTAAATTCAAAGAATGCAAAAGTTCAGGAGGGTTCATGTCTTGAACATTGCTCTCACTTTCTGTTGGACACAATTTATCAGCACTGTTAAAAGTTTTCATCTCTCCAGGAAGCATCAAAAGCATAATAGAATTGATTTCATCAACATCACTATTTTTAGGAGCTAAAATGCCTCGTTCTTTTAAGTACGACATGTCTTGATATTTATTTATGAAATCAGGATAGGTGGCATCGATTAACTGGTGCAAATCTCTTTCTCCATTTTTTATAACAAATTTTTCTGGTATCTGTATCCAATTAGGTTCATAGCCTTCACTAAATGAGCTTCCCATTATTTTCCCTTCACCAACCAATTTAATCCACTCTGCAAAGTCACGTAATTCATGACGCATATGATTAGAAATATCTTGTGCTGTAACACACATATTTCTGGTAAGATACAAAACTTGACAATGCTCCTAAATTGTTGACTTAGGTAATGAAGCTTCCACTGTTTGTTCACGCCCACCTCTAGGTACAACAGGCAATATTTGTCTAAAGTCACCACCAAGCACAAATAGTTTTCCACCAAAAACCCTATCCCCTGAACAATGTTCTGTATTTTTCAATATGTCCCTAAATGTACGATCAACAGCTTCAAAAGCATGACGACTAACCATTGGTGCTTCATCCCATATAATTAACAACGCCTCTTGAATTAACCTTGCCAAATCTGTCCCTTGATTTATTGAACAACATGATGAGTTATCAGGGTCAAGTGGAATCTTGAAACGGGAATGGGCAGTTCATCCCCCGGGTAAGAGCAAAGCTGCAATACCTGATGATGCAACAGAAAGAATGATCTTCTTATCAGATCGAAATTTTGTAATTAAAGTGCTCCATAAATATGTCTTTCCAGTTCCTCCACTACCATACACAAAAAAGAAGCCCCCATGATAAGTGGAATAAGCTTCCATTATGGTGTTAAACACTTTCAATTGGTCATCATTCAATCCCACATATAAAGATTCAAAAGATTGCATTTCTGAAATGCTATCGTAGTTCAATTCCTCCCTTATGAGCCTATTAGTAACCATTTGACCTGATCGATATGATGGTAGTGGCATCGGAGGAAACTCTTTAAGAGACCTTCCATTCTGATTTAGTATGTGCTCAATTTTAAGCAATCCTAAATTTTTCAATTCACATTCTTCGAGACTTATGTTGCCATCCCCAATTTGCCTTTGTACCCTATTTTGTAAATCATCAGTAAGGTCAAACCAATGATTCTCCCACAATTCATATGCATTTGTAACCTCAGAAAACATTAGCATTGAGCAAAACATATTTCGCAGTTGAGCACCTGATGCCCATGTTGAGGCTTCTATTAAAGCTGCGTCCCATTCATTATCATCGTCAAGTAAGCCAAGTGCAAGGCATGCAGATTTAAATGTTGGGTGCACAATGCCATTAACAGTTCTAATATCTTCACAACATTTTGCACCTCGAACCTTTGTAAGCAGCATACGTAAATAATATCGTTCACCAGAATTAGGATGTGCATAATACAATCTACCTATGCATATTTGTTGTTGCCTCATTTTCCATTTCTTCTGTTTCTGGTTCCAAACCATGAGTTAGGAAACTCTTCATATGTTAATGTATTTGCCTCTACATGATCTCTGTTTGCTTGAAACCACCTTGTAAACATTGTCTCGTGAACCCCCGGCTGATTAATAATTGACGAAATGTTATCTGTGTCTCTAAATAGAATAGATTGTTCCCCAGGTAGATGGTACTGCAACCGTTCAACTGAAGGGTATTGCTTTTGCAATTCAAACTCAAATATACGCCAGTAACTTTCAATTGCGGAGATATATCGACAATCTAAGTATTGTTTTACCTCATCAGCCTCTCTATACCGACTTTGTCCATCAATGTTAAGTCGATTAACATTATCTTCAATTACAACCGTTGCATGATTAGGACCTTTATGTATGTAATTATATAAGTACTTGATCAATTTGCTGTGTGCACAACGCTCAATATTGATATGGGCATCATACAGTACAATAAGATCACGGTTGTATGGAATAACCCATCTGTTGTCAATTTCAAATCCATTAACCATGTATTTTTTCTTTGTATTCCTTCGCCTATAGATAGCAAATCCATTTTCATCAATACTTGTTTCACTGCAAAAATTCTTCAGATAATGTTTTGAACATTTTCCATTCACCATACATGGGGCATTAGGGTTAGCACTGCCACAGGGACCATGTATCATGCACCTCATCACTGTTTGAAATGCTAATGGATCTTCATCCTTATCAGGAATTTCAGCACAAATTATATCATCAATTTCCTCTGGCGATTTTATCTTGTCATCTGCTGATAATGTCAAGATAATGTGCGAATGCGGTAATCCTCGCTTTTGAAATTCGATGACGTGAATATCTATTCAAGAAAAAATAATATTATTTGTTAACTTTAAACTAAATTTAACAAATCTAATTGACCAATTCAAATAAAAACAAACCTGCAATTATTTTGCCAAAGAATTTTCGGTTCTTGAAATATGCCATCAGTTGTTTCAATTTAATTCGAAAAACTCTCGCAAGTATATCCGGTATATCCTCTGTGTGTCGATTTGGAATGCGCGCTACCTCCTGTTGAATTTCTGACCAATTTGGGTTACATGTGAATGTGACAAAAAGGTCAGGAAATCCCATCTTTCGACATATTGCGATCGCATCTTGGTAATGCTGAACCATATTTCGTGGGCCGCCTGTAAAAGATAATGGCAGTATAAATCTCTTACCAATGGCTGATGCATCACTGTCACCCGCAGTCACAGCATCTTCTAAACCTCTATACAAATCAGTCCGCAACACATTCTGTTTATGCCTAATGAAGTTTAGTCTATCTTGCTCAATAGCTGCATAACAATCAACAACAAATTGTTGGAACAAACGTCCCCCTTGCAATAGCGTTTTCCCTTCTCCAACTCGAAATTGAAGTCTAAATGCATAAAACTCTCTCATTGACACTCCTTCTCGTTTGTTGTTTGTACCCAGAGTAAAACTTATAGACCTTCTCCATCCATCAGTCCCATAGGGAAAAAGTAATGGATATTGAAGTGGCATGTATAAAGGATGTGTTTCATTAATCCTTTGTAAATGTCCATCTAATTTTCTAACAATTATGTCACGATTTGTAGTGCTTTCAGACCCATCACCAACAATTAATGCAGCAATTTCAGTTATAGTGGGTCTAGTGTACTGTCTTCCATCCCTCGAACTCAAAATGCGAATATGCAATTCTTGAGCACCATTCTCACGAATCATGTCTCTAGCAGTGCGAAAAATTGATACATATGGATTGATGACATTCAACATTGACTGTAAACCTTCTAATGTGGACGTATCAATTCTCGATGTGCCACCACACCTATTCATAGCGTCCATTCTATTGCGAATTTCATGCTCAGTGTCATAAATATAGAGTTGTGCAAATTTAGGCCTTGTTCCAGGTTTCGGCAGTAGAGAACCAATTTTATGAAAATTTGCTCCACTAATACAAAAAACATAAGGACCCCTTCCATCTAACACTGACTGATCAATTTTCCCACCCATGGACGTGAAGGATAATAGGGAGTTATATGTCCTTATGTGTTCCCTGAATCTCACATGAGTAAACTGTTGTTGTAAAAATTTAGGAGTTTCTGGCAATAAAGGCAACATCATTTGTCCACTTTGACAACATAGACTAAATTTTGGTCGACTCAATGGACTATCTCTTACTTTTTCCTCCATCCACATCATTGCTTGACATCTAGAGCATGTTACTGTTCTCCCACCAAAGTTTGAGCGGTCTGAAATTTTTCTCCTTCTAGAACGTGTGGTAAATGTACTACTTGAAATTATTTAGATTTAGATTATAATTATGAATTTCTATTGTCTATAAGAAATTTGTATAGAGTACATAGTTGGCTAAATGTTTATTACTAGGTGGATGTGCTCTACTTGAAGTTGGTGGTACAATATTAGGAGCTCGCACTTCTGATTCATTTGTATCTAATTCATTAGATATAGGAATCTGAATTCCAACATGACTAACATCAGGAGCATTGTCGTTATTGCGACACCATGTTTGTCTGAAAGCACCACGTTGCATTCTTTTGAGTCTCAAGACTGTGATCCTCAAATGTCGATTCTCCTTTTCTATTTTCCGAAGGCAGTCCTTTAATGTAGGATCATTACGATCATATCGTGTTAAAAGTAATCTTCTTCTTGCCACCAGTCGTGCCAACTTGGAGGAAAGATATTTTTGATATCGATTTTCATATTCTTTATCAACACCTAATATATAATATAAGATCATATTATTATTTTTGTGATTCTTAAAAGATTATTGAAAATGTGAAGGTCTCACTAATAAGATTGTAAGAAAATTTGAAATGTAACGTTATTGTGTAGAAGTCAATAGATTACCACTACGATGGGCACTACTTCGTAATCTTTTTAAACGCAAAACGATGGTTCTCAAACGTCAAGCCTCCTTTTCTATATTGAGAAGACGAATCTTCAAGATTGGATCATTACGATCAGAATGCCGTGTCAAAAGCAGTCTTCTTTTGGCTACCAATCGAGCCATCTTGGACTTAAGTCGTGTTTGATTAATTTCTCGATTAAAAATCATATCCATCCTGAATAGAGTATTAAGTTGAAACTTATATAACTCATGCTATTAGTTTATAGTATAGATAATGACTTAAGGATGTGTAACATATGACTTTCATATTAAAAACATGATAATCTATAATTGTTTGTAGTTAATTTTACACACTGAAATGATTAACTCCTACATGATAACATCTACTGTAGAATCCATATAAATAGAATGTATTAAAGATCTAAAATCATGCAGGTTATATATTTATTATATATGTAGATATGATAGTTAGTAATTGTTTCTAGTCATATTAAAATATGCTAAAAAAACCCACAAGCATGGTAGTCTATAATTGTTTGTAGTTAATTTTGCACATCGAAATCATCAACTCCTACATGATAACATTTGCTATAGCATTCATAAAAATAGTATGTAACCAAAGATCTAAAAATTTGTAATTCAATTTCAAACCTGGAAATGTCAAATGGTTAACCAATTGTTGCTGATTTATCTGGAATTTACCTTAAGTTTACTTTTCTTATTCTTCAATAGAATTCAAACTGGAATACAAATGATAAAGAATACAAAATCTCAATAAGTACCGTTATTTGTTGTAAGTACGTAAAAAAAAATTAAAAATCTATTATACAACATGGATCTACTGAGGAGCTAATGTAATTATTTGTAAAGAAATTATAATACAATAATTTTATAGTAAGCAAAGATAACGTAATCAAATTATTGTTATACATGGAAAAAAAAAAACACAAAGGAAAAAGAGGATTTATTTTGATTTATTGTTAGATTTTTTTTGAAGATTTTGTAAATTACAAAATAAACACAAAGCGGTGTCTTTTTGTGGATGGCAGGAATAAAAATTGTGGGTTTTTATTTTTATTTTTAAAATAATGTGATAATCTAAGATGGTAGAATTTTTATTGTAGGAATAAAAATTGTGTATTTTTTTATTAAATTATTTAATTGAGAGTGGGATTTATTTAATTGATTTAAGTTATAGATATTACTGAATTTTATGTAATAGACGTCTGATTCAATGAATTGTGGGTGTTGATGCATGAGTAAATTGTAGGAATAAAAATTGTGGGTTTTGTTTTTTTTTTTTTTTTTTTTAAATAACGTGATAATCTAAGATGGTAGAATTTTCATTTCAAAACATAATATTTCCGATTTTCAAACCAAGTATGTACATATATATTTTGGATTTTGTAAAACAAAATAAAACATGAAAGATTAAATTTTGATTGGAACACTCATAGTACCATCCACAGTAGTACCGTTATAAAGCATTTCATACCATATCTCAAATTAAGACATGTAAAAAAAAAAAAACCATATCTCAAAGTAAAAAAAAAAAAAAAAAAAGGAACAATACTACAACCAAAAGAATTTATATGAACACAATTTAAATTAGAATCTACCAAAAATCGAATGTATATGAACACTATTTAAATTCCTAATGCAAATCAAACCTATACTTTTCTCAATAAATACAAAAATGTGTCTTTGTGCAAGTGTATTCAAGGAGAAATAAATCTGATTACCATACACTCACCTTTATGTATGAAAAAAAATTGAAATATAAGATATATGAATCCCACTGTATATAATATCTAATTTAACCCATTATATCGAAAATCAAACAGGCCTAAAAGAAAACACAAAAAATAAATGAGTTTAACTTTTTCACGACTCAATTGTAAAACACTGATTTACTAAGAGCCAATTGAAAGGTCCCACATCAACATTTTATTGAATTTTATAAAAGTTTTACATCCATTACCATACACTCACATTTATGTGATCACTCCTCTCTTCCTCTTTCACACATTCATCTCTATCTTTCAAAATCTGCAATGGCTTTTCAAAATCTGCATTCAGTAACAAAAAGAAAAACTAAAACAAAAACAGAGACATCTTCAATGGAGATGAGGGAGGTTTTTAATATTTTTTGCATATTTTCAAAATCTGCAGTGGCTTTTCAAAATCTGCATTCGGTAACAAAAAGAAAAACTAAAACAAAAACAAAAACAGAGACATCTTCAATGGAGATGAGGGAGGGAGAAGATTGGGTTGTATATATATAAATTATTAGAGCAGAACAAAAAGAAAAACAAAAACAGAGACATGGAGATTACAATACCGAGACTTACATTCGATGGCGGACTGTGGATTGCTACCGTTCACTGCTGATGAAGGAAGTCGATGTAGTGGATAGTTAGAAGTAATGGTTTGAGGGACTGAAAGTGTTTGGGGGTGTGTTTGAGGATAGGAGAGATTTGTTTGAGGTGGGAGAGTAACAGATTTCTTTGGATAGGTTTTGTTTTTTTTTTTTTGTTGACAGCTTGATTTGTTTGACGTGGGAGAGTGAGAGTAACAGATTTGTTTGGATAGGTTTTGTTTTTTTTTAACAGATTTGTTTGGATAGGTTTTGTTTTTTTTTTTTTAACAGATTTGTTTGGATAGATTTTGTTTTTTTTTTTTGTTGACAGTTTTTTATGGATAGGAGTTGGGGATGGGAGTTGTGGATAGTGGGAGAGTGGGAAGGTGGAAGAGTAGGAGTTTTTATTGTTATGAAAGTCTTTGGGAGGGAAGAAAAAGAGTTATAAACTCAGAAGAGACTTGCCACGTATTTTTCAGAATTATGAGAATTTTAGAATGGCATTTTCAAGTCTTGTAAAACACAGCACTACATTCTATTATGTATATAATATAGATTAGAATTTACCTAAAAATAATAATTAATAGTTCAAATTCATTTTACTTATAGACCCCACACTTTATCAATTAATCTTCACCACATATATCCATTTTGGTTAAATTCTGAGATCCCAGACTTTTTTCATAAAAAAAATAAAAAATAAAAAATTTGCAATATACAAACAAGATTTATTATGACAGTACAACAACTTTAAGCCTCTAACATAGATTCCAAATTCGGGATAATTTTTGGTAACAAAAAGTAAGCACATTCTTTTCGATTCTTTTCTTAGTTCCTTCTAAAAAAATGATGGGCCAAAAAATTTGATTTTAAGAAAACAAAGATGAAATCACAAGAAATACTAGATAATTTTTGAAAGAAACGATAAGTTCAAGTTCTATTCTCTATTCTTCGAGGTCACTTGTCACCTTAGATTCAGTAATTACTTGTAAATGTAGAACAGAAGATTACAGTGTCCCAAAAGTAGTCGAAAAATAAACCCAATAGCAGATATTGGTAGTATTTTCATAGCTTTTCACAGTAAAAAGTCCAACAAATTAAGAATTGAGAGAGAGTTGTGAATAGATGATCAATACCAAGAGAGAGGAGATGGAAGCGAAAGCCAAGGTTTTGTAACGTCCAAAAAAAGAGTCGGAGAGGAAGGCTCCGACCAATGGAGCCATGTTCGATGTACCAACGAAGACATTGACGAGCGTCGCAGCGACAACGTTCTTCATGTTGATAACAGTGGTGAGATAAACCATCAGGTTTGTTGATGTTCCTATCTACCTAAGTAATGCTAAAGATCATAAAAAAAATATCATGAAGGGTTCTTCACCTTTGGATTATACATACAACAAAACACCACATACTAATCAAATGATGAAAAATCTTCATGATACATTTCATGATTTTTTTTTTATAATCCCTAACATTACTCATCGACCCTAGCTTCTCAAACGTCTCATTTCCTGCAATCTTTTTAAGCTTAAGACACATGGTGAAAGAACAACTAAAGATTGTTTATAAAAATATGCTTCCAAATCAAGATATCTATGATATATTAATGATTAACTGTACCAAAAGGCTAAAATCCCGTTACATAATATCAATCTCTCTCTTAACAATGATGAATGGCATGGCCTTTAACACCACTGTAGTTGATGACTGGCTCGTCATCAGATGAATCAACCTTTGCTTTCTCCATTGTTGTTCTTTCTGTCTTGCTCACCACGGGGTGTG